GGCATGTAGAAATATTGCTTTAGAGAGAACTGATGGAAGGAATTACTAAGGTCTGAGGAGGGTGGACATTTACATGCCATGAATTTAAGTAGCCCTCTAAACTGAGCTTTTAAGTGCAGGTGTTCTAGGAAAGGAAACAGCTTACCTGGCCAGCAGAGCCTTTACAGTGAGCTGGATCCAGGGCGCAGCAGGTTCCACGCACACTTCCCTGCCATCTTTCAGCGTAGCTCTGGCGAGAAAGGAGCAGAGAAGTTAAGGCCAGGTGTGTCCCCCACTCTTCTAATGGCTGGAAATTTCTCTTAGCCAGTAGATGAAGGACCTGTTTGGTTTTGTCTTAGGTGTTTGGGGGGTTCTGTGAATGATGTCAATACAGGTGTTTATGCTGCAATCTTATAATGAGCCTAATGAATTTTCTCTTTGGTTTAAGTTCCCTATCTGGCCATGCTTTGGCAGATCTTTCAGGAACTTAATTATCTTGCAAAGTACTTTATTTAACCAAACCTGGCTTAAATTACCAATTCCTAGTGAGGTGGAACAGGGTGCCATGCAGTGCTACACAGAGGGTGTCATTGTACTACCACTATTTGCTTAAGAAAGCATAGGGAAAGCATAAAAGCCTGACAGAGCCCTTATGTTTACTGACTGCACTGGTCTGCTTCTATGATTAGTTCCAGGAGTGGCTTTAAACAAAGCTTACTGTATTCTTTTATTTTGTACCCACGTGAAGCATAATCCAAATTTCCCCACTTCTCAAAGTGGGAAATGCTCCATGTGCAATTCTGACACGGGAAATAACTTGGGGCCTTTCAGACTTTGCAACATGCAGGCCAAGTCAGAGGAAATGGTTTTAATTCATGTCAAGAGGATCAAGCTCGTATCTTTGATTGATTCTTCATTGTCTAAGTTATTAATTGTGCCCTGTGTTGTGCGAATCTAATTCTCCCCTCTAATGATGTTCGTAAGTAAGATAACAGTAGAAAGAGATATAAAATACTGTCTGGAAGCTGCTTGTAACGCTGTCTGGGAATTAGCTTATTCCTTTGGAGATAAGGCCTCTCTCCTGATGCTTGATGTCTCTGAGGCTTTGCTAGGGACTCCTGCCACTCAAAGTACAGAAGCAAATAGGACGAGAAATGTTGAGTCGGTTCCTCCTGTAGGAAGCAAGATGCTGTTTAGGAAAAGTGCTTACATGATTTCCACGTTTTTGCAGTGAGGTCCTCTTTGGCTTAATCTCACATCCTGAATAGTTTTGGGAGGGATGAACTTGGAATGTGTGCTTATGCACTGGCATTGGGAGCCTCTTTCATCTGTCTTCTCCAGGGCCTTACCTGTGGAGCGAAACCCTGTTATGTCTAGGTACATGAATGGTCTCTTTATTTGCTCCCCTGAAGCAAGCTGCATTCCCTCCTGTAGCCCCATTCTTGTTCCTCTGACACTCTGATTTGCTGGATGCTGAGATAAAATTAACTGCATCTGCACAACACAGCATTTTCAGAGCTGTTGGTGTGCAGACGCATTTGAATTTACACTTGGATTGCTAAGTTTCTGCCATGATCATCTGCTCATATTCCTTATTCTTTCTTGCAAATGGGATAATTCTTGCTCACTAACCTGCCTACCAAGAAGGATAAAATTGTAATTTTTGAAAGAAGAGCCATATGGGCATACTTTGGGGGAAAATGTCTTGTTTTAGTTCAAACACTTATTAAAATCTAGAGAAAAGCATATACTATGGCATAGGAATAAACTAATTTGCAGACAGAAGCATGTTTTACTCCTGGAAACATCCACAGCATCCTAACAGGTACAAATGATCCTTTTTACTCCTGAATGACAGTTTACTGAGGATGTATTTCTCTTGCAAAAAGCCATCAAGTAAGCCATAATGTAAGCCCACTTGAATCTGCATGTGTGTACTCATTAATTTCTTCCATGAGTTTAAAGAAATAATTTTCTTACCTTCTGACCCTGCCATTGAGACCAAGTAGAGAACCAAAGTGACAGCAACAGATTTGCCATCCATTGCTGCGCACTTTTTCTTCTTGACAGAGGTCCCGCTCTGGTGCTGTTTCCCATCGGGTTTTATACCTGAAAGGTGCGCTCCCAGCAGCCTGAGTGCTGAGAGGTGGGTTCTGCACATGCAGGTTTCCTAGCACATGAGAGCGTTGCACAAGAAATCCAAACCTCTGTGTAGCCCATCGGGTGGCACTTCAAATTTCCCTGGCTTTTGCTGCTGTGTATTTTCAATTATTCTTGAAATGGTTATTGTTTTCCATCACTTTCTGTTTGCACTTCTTCAAGGGATATTGGCTTTAGCCGGCAATGCTAAGCTTGCATTTGGAAATCCATACAACATTGCCAGACATCCCTCTGAGCCAAAAAGGGACTTTCTCCCTCCTCTGTGAATATAGATTTTTCGTTCAGCTCTTCGCATCATGCTTAAGTGTCTTGTGCAAAAACATTTACCCAGCATAATGACAAGAATTCTTTGTCCCAGTCTTACACACTTTATTTCGATATGAATCTGACAAAGTTATTTAGTCAGCGTCTTATGAAGACAAGACACAACTAGTTTCTCTTGTTCTTGAAAGGATTTAGTCTTTTTCAGTTTGGCTAAAGGGATTTAGATGCTTTGTTCTGTACTGAAAAGTCTCTCTAGTCATTAAGCAGGAAATGATGAGCTTAAAAGGACTGAGTGATATTGCCACCAAAGTCACTTTAAGCTCCTCTGAAACTTTCATCTGTTCAGAATATGAAAGGAGAAAGTATCTGGCAGTAAGGGCTGTAATGATACGTGGTTAAAATAAGCCCTTAAGAAGTTGCTTGTTTTTCTTTCTAACCTCGTGCATTTAAAATAATCACAGGTGTTAAAGGCGGTAGACAAACACGTCATAAGCCATTTCTAGACAAGGAAGAAGTCTGGTGAAGGTAGACACCAAGTTGGAAGAGCCACAGCACTTCTAGCAGTCTCCAAGAGCACTGAAACACATTTCTGGGAGCATGAGGATGGTTGTTGTATTTCTAAGGAAGGTGTTCTGTGGCTGCACACAGAACAGAGATGTGATATGTTATCATTTCTACCCTTGGAATCACATCTAACCAAAGAGCCTACAGAGAGGACGGTGCAGATGCCCTGCCCGGGGTCCTACAAGTACAGCTACTTTGGGCCATTTTGGACACAAAAACTGATGGGAAAAGCTCTTTCATGGCCATGGTTCAGCTCCCAATAACCTGACTGGGATCCTGCTGGTGGCAAAGGTTACATGTATCTGTATTACACTAAATGTAAAGGACTGATGCCAGTCCTTTGGGATACACCCTTACTTTTATGGCTGTGCAGATAGAGTGGTCCTTCCCAACCTCTCCCCACTCTTGGCTGAAACTTGCAACATCCTCACCTCCAAATTGCATCTCTGAAAGAAGGTAGCTTATAAAAATCCCTCGGGAAGCAGGAAGGCTTATACTTGTAAGACAAGTCTGAACAAAACCTGTCTCCTTGAGAAACTTTGACTCCTTCCCATTCTAAGGTCTGGCAGGCTGTGCGGTGGGGCAGGGAGCAAAGTGTGGTCAGAATAGTTATCCTCTTGCACAAGAACTTGCTCAAACACTGCCAAAACACCCCTTATGTCTTGCACCATGAGCAAACATGAACTGATTGTGCAGACCATGGAGTGGCTCCTTGTTGGAAAAGGCCAAACCTAAACAAATATCAAAATATTTGCTCGACTTGCCCACTTGTCAAGTGTTCGCTGCTCAAATTTCAACATTCCTCTGTAAATTGCTGTGCTACAGGTAGATGTGAGGCCATATAAATGGAGCTCTCTTTCTTAGGATTTCCTCTGGTGTGGTCCTCCCTCCTGACTGGAATTAGGGAGGATGCTCTGTGACTTCCTTAACGTTTATCAGATTTCCCTGTTTATTTAAGTTAACCAAACCCTTGTTCGTTGCCTTGTTCTCAGCTGCCGTGCTGTCAGAGCACCACACTGCTATGGCCTTGCAATTTCTGTGACTAACCAATATTTGTTCATTACTAGCTGGGAGTTTTATCGTCCAGACTTCTGAAAACACTGAGTCTAAGACAAGAAAAGAGGAAGAAAGTAGATAACTTCCACAATTCCTCTGATTCTGAATTATCTACACTTTACAGAGGCAACAATTTGCTGTTTTAATTTTTAACTCAGATCCCCACGTTGCCCTTCTGGGAACCCATTATGTGATACAAACTGAAAGAAAATGCTTCTTCTATTTTTCAGTTTGCTGTTCCAACAAAAAATGAATAACTATCAATATTGAAGTGAAAACATTTCAATGAGCATTTATTAGGTACGTAAACATAAAAATCTTCAATAAATAAATAAATAGAAAGATAAATAAATAAATAAATAAATATTTTATAAATAAGTAAAGTGGTTTTCTTTCTAGCCAAAAGATGGCATTAAAATATATGCTTATACCTTCACAACACTACATTCACAATAAATAATATCTTGAAAATGATGACACAGAACCTGATGTATCTGAATTTTGACATGTTAATTCTGGGAGCTCCCCTCTTCAGCCAGTTGCCCGCTGTGAGTGGCGGTGATCCAGGTACAATTGAAGTTAGTTGTCCATGTTTTGCAGGGGAGGTTATTGCTGGTCTTTTCCTAAACTGTTAGCAAAAAGGGAAGGAGTCATTTAGTGAAAGCTCTGCTGGGCACACACTGCACTCTTCCAGCTGTGTTTAGCAAAAATTATTCCAGAATCATCTCCATATTCCTTCACAAGCCACCTTTTCTGCCTTCTTGTTGACGTGGCAGTTGTTTCTTTCCTACATAATGAGACCTATTTAAAAGACTAAAAGCACTCTTGTCAACTAACTACAAACTGGGGAATAGATATTCTGAACGCTGTGACATTGTGAATGTAGGAGGCAGGAGGAGGTGAGCTGTCAGAAGCCGGGTGCGTGTCTTCCTTATTTTTGCCTTGCTGGAGGGGTCAGGACATTTTTCTTCTTTGTTTTAGGACACTGTCTCAGATTTGCTGTTGGCCCTGGAAAGAAAGAAGATGGAAAAGGAAGCTATTAAAAATCAACCATACAACAGGTAAGACTAGCTGGTGTCAGCTGAAACCCACCACTTTGCGCTTCTGTGCCCAAGCCCCTGAAAAGCCGTGACAGAACCCAAGGGACACTGGCACATCATAACATTCCCAAAAGGATTCAGTATCAGTGAATTTCCATAATTTGACAATTCACTTGACAATTGAAGCCTGATTTTCCCCTCGCTTATCTGTATGCCATTAGTTTTAAAAAACTGATTGCTGCTTTCTACCATTGCAAGCATGAGAAAACCAGTTAATGCTTGGGTTTTCTGAGCAGTTGTGTTGCAGGTTTTCAAAATGCTTGTGCAGAAGGTAACCTTGCCAGACCTGTGTGGCACAGGGAGGCTTCAATAGCTAATGCTGTAATTAAGGCTCAAAGCAATCACAGCGTTTGTCACAATTAGTGAACACAGAAGGTAATAACCGCCTGAGGAGACAGAATTTTGGAGCACTTCTGCCCGTCCTGTTTGGTAGTTCAATTAAAATACCGGTTTTCAATAAGCTGTGCTTATTGAGGAGAAATGACTCACTTGTCCAGAATTGCCTTGATGATCAGCTTCACCCAGGGAGCAGTGGGCTCCAGGCACACTTCTCTGCCATTTCTCAGGGTAGCTCTGCAACAGGGAAGAAAGGAAGGGAAAAGGACAATTTAGTGAAATCCAAGGCAATGCCACCTTTCTCTCATAACTTCATTCTAGGCATGCACTGACGTGTTCCACTTTAAGCTGTATGAACTGAGGTTGTAGTCTAATATAAAGGGATCTTTTTCATGGCAGTGAAAAAGTATCTCCTCATATCTGTTTGTTTGATGCATTAAACCATCTGCACTCTCCCACTTTTCAAAACTGCTTTTTTTTCCCCGACTGGCTGTGTATTTGAGTCGGTCTTTCACTAAAGAGTTAAATCTTTCCATCTCAACTCAGAAATTGTACTGCCCAGTTCATGGGAGTTTGGTTACTTACAGTAAAATTCTGGAATGCAACTGGAATGAGTTGTATGCTAATGGTAGTGTTTTTCATTGACTTGAGTAGAAGTGTGACAATTTTTTTGACCTAGCCCTTAAAAATTATGTTTTGATCTCTTGCTCAGCATTGCTCCATGCATTTTCACAAGCCACTAGATTTCAGTATTTTAGAAAGTTATTTGCTGCCTGATGACTGCGAATTTAGGTCAAAATATTGCACGTGTTTAACAAGTAGAGATTGGCAAAACAGCACACAGTTCACAACACGTAGCACATCGTCTGCAGGAGCAGGGAATGTTGCTGTTCTGCTTTCTGAGCAGCTGCTTCTGCCAGCTATCACAAAAAAAAATAAAATAAAAAAAAAACAAAATCCGCTTCCTTCTTGTTAAGTAATCAGGAAGCTTTTGCAATGTACACTTACATGACTTCAACATTCTTGCAGTGAGGTCCGCTGGGGGTGAGGTTCACGTTTTGGATGAACTTGGGAAGGATGAACTTGGAATGGGTGCTTATGCACTGGCACCGGAGTTCAATGGCTGAGCGTGGCACTGCCTCAGCTGGAAAACAAAAAAAGGTGGAGTGTTTCACTATCTTCCCAGGAAGCACAACATGGGGTTTCTTGCTAACAGCATTAGGAGAGTCCTTTGGTGCACTGGTAAGAGCACAGCGTGCCCCCATCAGCGTTTGCTCTGGCCATTAGACAGGAGAGATTTAGGAAGGGTTTCTTTACCTCGTGTTCCAAGCACTGAGATCAGGAGAAGGACCAGGACAGCAGCCACAGTCTTGGCAATCATGATGCAAGAGCTTGTCTTCCTCGTGTGGCCTGGGCCTGGTTGTGTGGTGGAGTGAGCTCTGGCAGATGCCGGGGTAGAAGTGCCTGTGCTCTGGGACCGGCCGTGTTTATATCCTGCCTGGGTCAGCTGGGGCACTCCGGCATCACGGGGAGGTCACACTCACAGAAACCCACGGAAACTCCGAACCTGCGAGATGTTGCTGGGCACTGAGTCACAGGTGAGTGGGTAAGCCCCTTTCCCTTCATGACCACAGAATTGCTCCTCATCAGTAGCAAGCACTTGATGAAATAAAGACATGTAGAGTTGCCCTGCACTGAGGTGTGTGGAGTCTGAAGAGGGTTTGTAATTTCTTGGGATAATATTAATCTGTACTGGTGTCCTCCTTGTGACTTTCCACCACAGGTCAAAAGCATTTGCTCTGTGATTTTTCATCTCTGTGTCTTTGGAGTTAAATTTTAATTTTTTCCATTTTAAGGCATGACAGAAGTAGGAGCCAATAATTCTAAAATTTATAGATACTAGCTCTCCTTGTCCTTATACTCGTGTACATTAAAAAAACCCTTTTTTATATGCTGAGATAACTTCATCAGAAATATTTCCAGTATTCTTTTGGTGAATTCAAATCCAGCTTCACTGAAATAAGCAATAGTAACACTGAGACTCTGTAGTACCATTGAGAACACACAGAATATGTAAATATGATATGATGAGTTGCTTTGCCTGAGCTAAGGTGGATTTTGTTTCTTGAGGATGACTGCTTCTTCTAAAGCAAAAACTTCTAAGTTATTTGCTGCTTTGAATTTGGGAAAAGGAAAATTCTAAAAGCTGCTGTAGCACTCTGCTTCTGAAATAAAATGAGGCAAATTGATTATTCAGACAAAGTCAGAGGTGTTCAACCATTTATTTAACAGCAGAGACAAATACTGTAATACAAGTTGGCCTTATTTGGGTTAAACATTAAGGACTGCCATTACTGTTCCTCTGCCAGGTAATGGGGAAGTCAAAGGAACAAAGGACAGGGTCAGATATGAATGAATGGAGGTTATTTTTCTCTGACTGATCATGAAGGTCTTAGAGATTTACATATGCCAGACTGAATGCCACTTACCATAACCATATCTATCAGTGTCTGTAGTTTATAAATAGCCTTAGAGCATATGATCTAAATAGCCTTAGTTAATACTGAACGGTAGCTATTCCAGAAGCTATGGAATTAAGCATCTGGTTTTCCTATCACTTTACAGCTTGCAGCAAATACAGCTGGATTAGCTAACAGATAAACAGATAAATCCCTAATTAGAGCCCTTGCTCGTCAGACCTGAGGTCTGCCTAGGGATTGTTCTCTTCAACCATAGCAATCAGCAGGTGTCTAGGAACGTGTAAGAAAAGATCAAGTGTCTTTGAGACTTTTCCCTAGTAGTCTGATTCTGGTTTCACTTGCTGCCTCCTGATTCTTTTACAGGATAACAAGAAGTAGACATTGATCCTTAACCCTGGTTTCCACTGGCTTCATAATTCTGTAGGCCATTATCATGTCTCCAGATGAGTCTCTTTTTACAAAGCGCTGTTCTGTTGCCTGACAGCAGGACAGGCTGGGTTTTTGTTCCTAACTCTGAATTTTTGATTTTCCCCTCACACATTATTTCCATGCACAGCAAGCTGCTTACAGAAATGCAAGCTACAGCATCAATGGAAAAGTCTTCTGGCCTGCATACAAGGAGAAAATGGGAGGATGAATTGCATTGCCTAAGGAGTGTGGATTTCTTTTTCCAAATAAATCCAGGAAACTGTTATTCCTCTTTAATGTCACTAATGATATTCAGTATTTCAAAGACAAAGTTATTCTTTCTGTCCTCTATATGCAATTAACCTTTTATCCCTTGTGTTCTTTGTGCAAAATCTTTTGCCTGTTCGGTTTCAGGGAAATGTAATTTCTGCTTTCTTGGTCCAGACAGACCAGATGTTTCTTCTATGGCTCTGTGTATTTCTACTCAAATATAAAAGAAAGGGCTTAGATGTTTTACATTTATCAGAGACAACACAATGATTACAGCATAACAAATCTTGATATGGAGCAGTGGGAACAACTGAGTAGTGTTCTGGAGGCTGCTCTTTGACTTGTAATTTAGGATGTAGGGAGCAGAGTGCTCAGGAGTGGCCTGCAAAAAAACTCAGAGTCGCCAAAGATAAAATTGCTCCTGTGATAACAGAGGGAAGTCAGAAGAGGTGAACTCTGAATGAAAGGGTCACATGTTTAATTCTGTGTGACCTGGGCCAAAGAGAGCAGCTTTGTTCCAATTTATTTAAAAGGACCTTGTTTTGGAGACATGAGGCAGGTGAATTAAGAGCTGCTGGAATTCTAGCTCACACACACTGAGTGAAGAAAGCCATTGCTAAGCCTTAACTATGAGTGTCATAAACAGCATCTGGTATCCTTCAGCTGTATAAACACTTGTCATAAGGGTCAAAAATACAGTTATTGAGAAGCTTCAGTTTTACTGGCATGAGAGTGCCAAGGCATTTAGCACTAGCAAGTGGTAAGATTTCTGAGTATTGATGCTTATCAGCAGTATGTGACAGACAGGAACGCAGGCTGTCCTGCTCTTGCTTTTGACACTGGTGTGTGGTCCAGCAGTCCCTGTCCAAGATTCAGTAATTCCACTAATCAAGGCTTCCACATCAGTTATACTCTAGGAAACAAAGGGCAGGAGAGAGGCTGAGGTACCCAAGTGAAAACACTCGTTTCTCAGGTAATTTTCTGTGTGCTTCTGCCCTTCTCTGACTTGAGTGCCCAGGAAATTTACATTTCCTTATGCTCACATGAACAGTGAGGAATTTCTCTCCCCTGGGGGCTCCTTGCAGTGCCTTGTCCTCATTTCCCTAGATGATTGTTCACCACTATCTTTAGTAATCCCACCTCATGCCTGGAATTTTACATCCAAACATGTAAAAGATGATTTAAAAATTGCTGAGCAGCTGAGTCAGTCCATGTGACCCGCCGGGGGTTTTTTGAAAGAGCAATAGTTTTGACAGGGAAGGATAGTCCTGTTTCACTTTAGATTTCCTTTAAGCAAATTCTTCCTCTTGATTTCTTACACTTCTATGACCCTGTATGCCAAATCTCTTCGTATTTTTGATCTGCAATACCTCAACTTCTTGGTGTTATTTTTCCTGGCAGCTGGGGTCTCTAGTGTCCTCTGTGTTTTGGTGGAGAGATGGTCTCTACTGTGAACCTTTCCTGAGGCAAGTTGGCTGATTTGAGAGGGTCAGAGAACTAATTATAGTTACAAATGCCATAACTCTGTGTCTTTACCCCCTACTATTCCTTAATTAGATATCAACAAACTCCCCAAGATTTTGTTTGCCAACTTTCACACTGAATGACTTTTACATGAAAAATATAAAATAAAGGGCTGAAATTAGAAATATAACCATGAGATTCACTTTTAGTATTTGTCTTCTGATGAGCTTCTGATTAGCCCTGTCCAAAAAGATGGATTCTCTTTTGTTTAGTTAATGTGCAATTCTGCAAGCCTAATTTGTTTTGCTGAGCCGCTTCCATCTCAGGAGAGGCTCACTGAAATTTGTGTGGCTGCCTCCTTCCCCTCTTCCTGAAACTGCTTTGATATTTACCCTCATTTAAAAAAAAAAAAATGGAAATAGCATTTGCTCATTTTTAGAAGTGCTGGGAGTGGAGTGGAGGGTCTTTGCCAAATCAGTCCTGCACTGGGCAGGTGTTACAAAGGTCACTGTGCGAATGGTTTAAGAAAGGAGCATTAATTAGTCATAAAATTGCACAGTTTTCTGCGAACAAGGATGAGAGGCAGATCTCTGCTGTAGCACAGCATTACTTCCTCACAGCACAGGAGATGATGATCCCTATTCCTGTATTTTGCATGCAGCCCGTGATTCTTGCTGCAGAGAAGCACAGTTGCAACATTTCTGCTGGTGAATGATTTTTTCCCATCTGCCCTGCTGGTGAGAGCTCTGGTTCAGAGGCAGGAGAAGTGCTTTGGAGTTCTGTCTCGAGAGCACGTGGCACAAGCAGCTGCTCCAGGAATACGCAATTACAAATCGCACGCCTAAACCTGTTGCTAGCACTTCTTTCTCTCTCTCCTGAATTTTCTGTTAGCCAGCTTGATTTCCCAGTGTTCATCCTGCTGGCTTTCCTGGGTCCTAGTGCTGTGCATTTAATACTCCATGCTTGCAGCTGTACATCTAAAATTCAGTAGTAGTGACACTGAGCTTTGTTGCAGCAGTCCCTGAGCGTCCAGCAGAATATTTCTGGTTAACTCAGGACTTGGTTCACATTTTTTTAAAGGACTCCAGAATTGCAGTCCTTCCTTTCTGTGACATTTGGCAGATCCACAATACAACAAAAGCCATTAACTGATCAAGTTTGATGGAAAATATCTGTCTTTGTGTATTCCTGGGTTTTCCCCATGTATGTAGTAATTGCATAGGAAATGAAATCATCTCCAGAAAGGGAAGTAGTACTGGGGGGAAAAAAAGGAAAGAAAAAAAAAAAGAAAAGAAAAAGAGAAATGGACAGGATGCTGACTGAAACATTGTAAGAGCGTTCAGGCTACTCAGCGTGCAGCGACCTTTGCAAAGAACAAAAGAGACCAGTTTAATTATATTAGTTGCATTTTTAAGAAGAAAACTAATTGCAGTTGGATTACTCAGGGACTTTCCAGTATTGCAGCTGGTATCAGCATGTATTGTCTTTCCTATTAGATAGATACCTTTTTAAATTAATCATCATATGTAACTGAAAACCCATTACAATGCATGAACAAAAGAGTTACTCAGGAAAATATTTTATTCTGTGTGACAAAGCCAAGACTTCCAGCACTGAGCAGAAAGGGTAGTTGAGAATAAGGAAAGGACCAGAGAAGATACTTGGGAGTAGCACTTTCTTATGCTCCCTCCCTTGCTATATCCATCCCTTCAGCTGGCCCAAAACTAGGAGCCTGTGTTCTAGGGTGTCTCTCCCCCTGCTTGGGAGAGGAGGATAAAATAATTACACCTTTTCCAAAGATATAGTATGTTCAAGAATTTAAGCAAAGCTGAATTAACAAGGCTAAGCTATGGGCATTGC